CATATTTACTTTTTTTAACACTTGATAATATATTTTTTGCACTAAAGCTGTTAACAATGACCTTACTTCTACAGCTTTAACTGTAAGGTGCCCTGATACATTTTTGCTTACCAATACGAAATCACCGAACAAAGGGTTTCTTTTTGAAAAGGTGAAGTCATCACTTGGAAAGTTTTACTGTCGCCATAATCGTTTATTTGAGCATAATGCTTATTACCGTTAAAGATTATCACATGCCGTCTTTTTTTTATCTTGGTCATGGCTAATATGTAACAGTACGAATTGAAACTCTGTAGGTTCCAATATCCTCCAAGTACAAATTAGAATTCAAATTTCGGCTACCGGTAGTTTACTGTAGATATTTGAATTTTGATAATGCTTAGACGAATTTCAATTTAGTACAAATCAGAATAGCAATATCTGCTAGAAGTTGGTATTTTTGTATTTGTAGTAAAAGGATTTTGGATTGTGCTATTTTTGGTAGAATTTATGATATTACTGAAAACTCCAGTTTGTTTGATACCGGATTGTAGTGGATGTATTTTGTTTCAAATCAATTTTATTCCGATGTTTTAGAACTCGTTGAACTAAAAAAAGAAAAATTGTTATTTGTAGCATTTATACTTTCGATCAATTAAAACTTTTTGAATTAGATCTATAAATGTATAAAATTTACGAGAAAAAATGGGCGAAAAAAGGAGTATTATCACATTAAATAGCAACTTCTCGAATTTCCTCCGTCGAACCTTAAAAATAAATTGTATGTTGTTGCTACTAACGTTTACGTTTCAATAGTATTATTATATCCAGTTACTTCACAACGATATCAAAGGGCAACATTTAACAAGTATGTATTCAATATGACAAGCTCTAATTCGAAAGTGGATAGACGATTATCCTGATAGAGCTTAACTCATGATAACAGTTGTGCAAGTAGGAATGATTTATATCATACATTTCGTAAACATACGATTGTCCTTGTAGAGCTTTACTTCTACCAACAGTGGTGCAGTCATGGGATGATTAATAGACAGATGATAGTCCTTATAGAGCTTTACTTCTACCAACAGTCGTGCATTAGGGGATGATTTATATCATAAACTCAGAAAACAGACGATTGTCCTTATAGAGCTTTACTTCTACCAACAGTCGTGCAGAAGGGGATGACTTATATCAAACACTCAGTAAACAGACGATTTTCTTTATAGAGCTTTACTTCTACCAACAGTCGTGCAGAAGGGGATGATTTGTAAACAGATTATTGTCCTTATAGAGCTTTACTTCTATCAACAGTCGTGTAGAAGGGGATGATTAGTAAACAAATGAATGTCCTTATATAGCTTACTTCTATCAACAGTCGTGCATCAGAGGATGATTTATATCATACACTCAGTAAACAGACGATTGGCCTTATAGAGCTTTACTTCTATCAACAGTCGTGCAGAAGGGGATGATTAGTAAACAGATGATTGTCCTTATAGAGCTTTACTTCTATCAACAGTCGTGCAGTAGGGGATGATTTATATAATACACTCAGTAAACAGACGATAGTCCTCATAGAGCTTTACTTCTATCAACAGTCGTGCAGAAGGGGATGATTAGTAAACAGATGATTGTCCTTATATAGCTTACTTCTATCAACAATCGTACATCAGGGGAGGATTTATATCATACACTCAGAAAACAGACGATTGGCCTTATAGAGCTTTACTTCTATCAACAGTCGTGCAGAAGGGGATGATTAGTTAACAGATGATTCTCCTTATAGAGCTTTACTTCTATCAACAGTCGTACATATGGGGAGGATTTATATCATACACTCAGTAAACAGACGATAGTTCTTATACAGCTTTACTTCTATCAACAGTCGTGCAGAAGGGGGTGGTTAGTAAACAGATGATTGTCCTTATATAGCTTACTTCTATCAACAGTCGTACATCAGGGGAGGATTTATATCATACACTCAGTAAACAGACGATTGGCCTTATAGAGCTTTACTTCTATCAACAGTCGTACATCAGGGGGGATTTATATCATACACTTAGTAAACAGACGATTGGCCTTATAGAGCTTTACTTCTATCAACAGTCGTACATCAGGGGAGGATTTATATCATACACTCAGTAAACAGACGATTGGCCTTATAGAGCTTTACTTCTATCAACAGTTGTGCAGTAGGGGAGGATTTATATCATACACTCAGTAAACAGACGATTGGCCTTATAGAGTTTTACCTCTATCAACAGTCGTGCAGTAGGGAAGGATTTATATCATACACTCAGTAAACAGACGATAGTCCTTATAGAGCTTTACTTCTATCAACAGTCGTGCAGTAGGGAAGGATTTATATCATACACTCAGTAAACAGACGATAGTCCTTATAGAGCTTTACTTCTATCAACAGTCGTGCAGAAGGGGATGATTAGTAAACAGATGGTTGTCCTTATATAGCTTACTTCTATCAACAGTCGTACATCAGGGGAAGATTTATATCATACACTCAGTCATGGGATGATTGGCCTTATAGAGCTTTACTTCTATCAACAGTCGTACATCAGGGGAGGATTTATATCATGCACTCAGTAAAAAGACGATTGGCCTTATAGAGCTTTACTTCTATCAACAGTCGTACATCGGGGGAGGATTTATATCATACACTCAGTAAACAGACGATTGGACTTATAGAGCTTTACTTCTATCAACAGTGGTGCAGTAGGGGATTATTTAGATCATGCACACAGTTGACAGACGATTTACCTTATAGAGCTTTATTTCTACGAACAGTCGTGCAGTAAGGGATGATTTATAGTTAACACACAGTAGACAGACGATTGTTCTTATAGAGCTTTACTTCTACCAATAGCCGTGCCATGAGGGATGATTTATATAGCTTTACTTTTACCAACAGCCGTCGAGTAAGGAATGATTTATATCTTACACTCAGATAACAGACGCATGTCCTTATAGAGGTTTACTTTTACCAACAGCAGTGCCGTGAGGGATGATTTATATATAAAGGTGTAATACCACCAAATCATAGTACGTCACATCCGGTCACATCCGGTTGCATACGAAAATAGGTCGAAAAAAAATATTCCCTTGAATTTGACAGTTGTAGGTAATTGATCCTACATTTCATTGCAGTAAAACATTTCTGGGTCATAAACATATATCTTGGGTATTTCAAAGCACCATTATTTTTTTATTTGGGGTTTCTATAGAATATTTTGGAAACTTGAGGTTACATGGTTACTAAAGCTTGTATACAGGTTAAAAAAGGGGGAAAATTTGATTGGTTAACTTCCAGTGATGGTTATTTTCTTATATGCAATGAAATGTTATGTGAAATTTTTTCTATAGTACTGGACAGGATCAAACTTTACTCATGCCAAGTATTTCTTTATTTGAAACAAAGATAAATTCTGTACAATTTTTTGAAAAGTGCAAATTTAACAAAGACTAATAGGGGAAAATCAATGGTGGTATTACACCTAAAAGGATTTAAGCAAGATTTTGTCCATATTGATTTATCAAAAAAAAAGTTCTCGGATTTGTAGGAAAAATAAGTTAATATCTCCTTTTCAAACAGATGAAAACTTAAAGATCCTGAATGATGGGATGTACAACAAAGTGATAAATGAAATCTAATAATGAGTACGTGACTGAAATCCGGAATTTTTTGTTAGTTCCTAGAATAATTACACCTACACCGCAGCTGCGAACATGTCTAAGTTTTGAATTATTATAGTAATTTCAAAATTGGCATCATTGTTGGTTTTGCCAATAGGCAATCATATTAAGTACAAGCTACGAACATTGAATTATGTCATATGAGATGCATCGATTTTTACGTCAACAAAAATCGAATATCTCTAATTTGACTCCAATATATATGTATGTGTAAATTATTGTTACTGTATTGTATAATATACATTAGAAATATGAAACCCATGGGATCTGTACCACGTGGGTTGATACCAACTGAATTTTGGTTGGATGTTTGTATAAATGCGACAGAATGTTCCTGATCATGAAAAAATAACGAAATATTGGTCCGTCAATAGTACAGGTTATATCAATTGATTGCTGACTACATATATTATTGAAAGGGTAAAGTCACAGATTAATTACTGATAGAATAAGCCTATGAAATAAATTTCCAATAGCAAATTAAATATTTAGTATTAAGTGCCGTTCGTGTCACAAATGATATTAAGGGAAACTATATGAATCATTGTGTTTGGTATTAAAAGAACAAATTCAATAATTAATGGAAGCAAATATAAAGCATTCATGAAATTAAAAGGTTCCAGGATATGCAACTACGTGTATTCGCAAAACGATCAACTATTATAATTCACTTACACATTTTAAAACGTGAAACACATATTATCTAAATGAGTGAAAATGTTATTCATTTACTCCTTCTGTACTTCAAAGTAATAATTAACTTAAATAAATACTCGGAATACATTCTTTTTTTAAATCGTACCAGTTGATTTTCGAATGGAATAAACCTAAATTCAAATTTAACAATTTAAATTGTCTTCAAGGCACCACAAAAACGTCTGGAAAAAACATAGAAGTAATTTTTTGAACGGTTGCTTCTGAGTAAGAACAATGATTATTTTTATCATTTTATAAAGCTTTTTTTAAAACTTATTATTTAAAAAGTAAAAAGAAACACTTTACTGGTACATTTCAAACGTAACTTGGATATTATTAGATACTACGATGTTCTATTGTTGAGATAAGTAATCTAAATACGACCAAGCGTTTTCTATATTCTAATGAAAATGGTGACGTGAACAACTGAACATCAACATCGACGTCCATATTTACCATGTATTATATTTGAGGCATGATGAACCCTTTTCCTTTCCTGTAAATACACATGTGGACTTTAATGTAAAACATGAACGGTAATTAAAACTTTTTCTGTTAAATGCCGTTTTCCTCTTGAGAATTTTATACAATCATACAGACAAACAAAATCTTACCTTAATATGTGTTTTCCAACATTTATTCGTAATTGTACAGAAAATATTCAATTTAACACACAGTATCATTTATTCCGTCGATCTTAAGCCTTCGGCAGCCATATTGATTTTCACCAGCTTCGATATGGAATTAAACAAATCGACTACATCCTAATAATTGCTTATATGGACACAATAAGAATTTATAAATGAGTTTCGTATTCTGTCAAAAATAGGACCTATAGTGTACACCTTTTAAAAATGTTGACACACGAGAGGTTGTATGATTCCTTTGAACGCATGCTTGTACTCAGAATTTTCTAGGACTGTATTAGGTTTATTCAGCATACTAAATGAGCTATCTATTGATCGATTTCTACTCTGTTGTTGTAAGGTGGATAGAATGCAACAAATTGTATAAATATTGCCAACGACTCCGGTCCGGCGATCAAATAAATAACATCAGCCATTATCATTAAATAAATTAGGAATATCTATGCATTCCATTCTGTATGTAGAATTAAAAATAAAAATATAATGAAAAATGTATGGAAAAATAATACCTACATTCTCTGAAATCAGGATCATATAATGATTACTTTTGTTGTATGCATATTTTCCATACATTTCATTATTTAATCATGACTAAAAAAAATTGTACCTTGTCACCGAAGTCTTTTCTACACTTGCAGCATCGTCAAAACGATCACGTGTTTATTAGCGCTTCTTAAAAAATAAAAGATTGCAATATCATCATCCAATCTGGATGTTCTAAATTTTTTTAAGAGATTATCAATATTTAAACAATGTCATGACATAGATACGGACTGATGAAAATCGGTTTTAATTTTGTATTTGCAACAGTATTAATTGAATGACGGATTCGTAATACATTTTGTAGAACGCCCTTTATTATACTTTAGTATTTATTATTTATAACTGAGATATTCATTGTCCGAAACGATAAAATATATTCTGGTATATTATTATAGTTTAAGTCGAATTATTTTACACCCTACTAAGCTTGTTTTCATTCTTTCTTTCTTTTGTCTGTATAATGTATAATTAACAAGTTTATAGATAGAAGGGGAGGCAATCGTTTTAAAAACAAATCGATGGAAACATAGGACCATAATGATATTAAGCTTTATTGATAATTTTGTTAATCCAATATTGTTATTAAATATCTTTGGATGCTTTTCCAAAACAAACTAGTGTTAATATCTTCAACAAAGAGCTTTAATATAATATTTTAAAAATTGTTATAGTTAATAATAAACAATGCAACATTCAATAAATGAGGGTCTGAATGGGGGTCCTTCATTTCTTTATTCTTTTAATTTTTTAGACATTTTTTTTCTATATTCTTTATCTATGATTTTGCTCATTATTCTCTTTTCTTTTTATTTAAACACCCCTTAATTCTCTTCTCTTTACTTTTTGACTATTTTTCTTCTATTCTTTATGTTTTACCCTTTATTCTTCAATTTTTTACAATTATTTTTCTAGTCTGTAAACCCTATCCTGACCTTTATAAGTATAATTAAAAACTAAGGTTAATCAGAAAGTTTTTCATCCATGGTTTGTGCTACAAAATTCTCTACATTGGACATACATAATACAATATAAAACAATGCTGTAATTGCCAATGAAACGACTTTCCATCATACATATAGAACGTTGAAAGAGAATGACTGTTTATTGTAATAACTATAAACATAACCGTACGACCTACAGTGATAAAGATACCCTATTAAGTATGTAATTAAGCAATAAAAAGTCCATATATAGCGAAACGATTCAAAAGCGCAAACAGACGACAAATGAAACATGAAACAAAAGACAATTATGGCAAAGAACAACAATAACCACTAGCCTACATAATCATGGCTTGGGACGTGTACAATAAAGAATGGAGTGGGCTCACTGTGTATTTGTAATCCCCTTAACTGGAACAGTGTAGTATTTTCTATAATGATTTCCACATGCGAATACATTTATTAGAAACAAGTAGAAATATATACAAATATTGTAATAAATTTACATGTGAACTACTTCAACCCGATAAACATGTCAAGATTAAGAGCTTGACTTATTGTATAATAGACACTTGTCTGTTGTGTTCCCTTCTAAATGCCCTTTGATTGTTTGTGTCGTTGGGTTGCTGTCTAAGTAGTATATACCTCTCATCTTCTTTTATACATAGGCATATCAATTTATGATAGATAAGAAAGCTTCAAGGCATGCAAGATAAATCAATGATCCTGATGAAGATTATTTTGATAATGGTTAGAGATAACTAGCTAATTAATACAAAACACCCGATTGACATGTGCCTGGAAAATAACTGGATGGCTTATGCCTTATAAAAACCAAGGTTGGCTGTTGCTCACAAACTAAAATTTGCAAAGCATGGTTTGTCCTCAGCTTAATAAAGAATATTTCGATCATTTTACCTCCAAAAAAAATTAAGATTGCGCCCCCCTAACCTAAAATCCTGGATCCTCCCCTGGCCTATGCTCGGCAAATAAACGGCTGGCCTGAACCTGACAATATCACAAGTTGCCTGCTCCTGATAAAATATCCGTTCTCATTATTTGACCATCAATAACTGTTTGTAGTTGAAACATATACTTTTTGGACTGTATTTAACCTTTTCTTAATATTTTTATATTTCTTATTTACTCAGCTTAGTCTAGACAAATACAAACGGGACCCCATAGTTACTGTTTATAAATAGAGACTCCATAGTTACTGTTTATAAAATGAGACTCCATAGTTACTGTTTATAAATAGGGACTCCATGGTTACTGTTTATAAATAGGGACTCCATAGTTACTGTTTATAAATAGGGACTCCATAGGTACTGTTTATAAATAGACTCCATAGTTATTGTTTATAAATAGGGACTCCATAGTTAGTTTATAATTAGGGAATTATAAATATGAATATTTAACTGCCGCTTTACTGACATATAAGAAGGTATAATTTAATGTCATTTGACTCCGAATAATGCTGATGCGTAATATAATATTAAAATAATGTATGCAATAGCAATAATTTGAATGATAACCCGTAGTTTTGTGACGTCATTTCGGTTTATTTTGATATATACGCCACCATTTTACTGAAATATCAAATTCAAAAGTCACCAAGACAATTGTAGAAGTGTGTAAATGGTTATGGTTTTTATGGCTAGGAACATTCAGCAGTTTGATTTACGGGCTGAAAACACTATCTAATCAAATTAACAACAAACAAGTCTAAATAATTTATACAGATAAACGGATAAATGACACAAACGTCGTTATTCTAAAAGCGACTTTACACTTCAAAACGGACATAAACATGTTTATATTACATTCAGAAAAGACAACAGAAATTGTAAAGTATGTCACCATACGCAGAGTTTATTGAGTTTTGACATTACGATTTATGTCTACTGTATTCAGATTAAATTCAACAGCTAGAATGAAGCAATTACCAATTAATGTTTTAATACAAAATTTTTAAAGGGATTGCTAACTCTATCATAGATGAGATTGATTATACATTGATATTTCTTTCGACTGAAAACAAATATTGACACCTTGGAAAAACTACGGTAAACAATACAAATTTACAAACTTAATAAAAATCAAAATACATGTTATGTATTGCTAAATATTCAGATGGGAACCACAAATAACTTGAGGCAAAACAAATGATCATAAGCATTTCAGAGTTTACCACCAAATACCAAAAAACCGACCTACTAGATTGTAGAGTAATCTGTTCCCTGCTTGTGTACAGAATGAGTCGCATTTAACCTATTGATCTTGTGACCTCTTGACCAATTTCCATATAAAAAAGTACATCATGTCAACTTATTGATTCAAGAATAAAATCTGGTACCAGTTAACACTTTCTTTTTTGAATATTAAACTGTTATGTGACAGCAACCCAACGACACAAAACCAAAACACACTAAAAGTTCAGTTAATTTTCATATGGTTTGTAAGATCACGTTTTTTAGAAAATTTAACTACAAAATGAGAAGACTCGACTTGAAAGTTAAATTAGCGCGGCGCTATGAGATAAAACATTTTGATATTTGTCCGTTCGGCATCTTTCGCCTCTCTTTTGTAAATGAAAATAATGATGTCCAAACACCATATATAATAATTGCAACCCTACCTTTTGTAATTGGAACTTACATTAGAAATGGTATGTTTTTACTTGGAAGACATTTCATAATGTTCAATATTATTGGTAATTTGAAAGTATATACAAATTACAATTGAGAAATTATATCTAGGCAAAGGCGGTACACTTCTATTTATCATACAATCAACCATTTAAGTATACAAATAGTGGTGTATACAGAAAGTTATAGATTTTATTGACATTTCTGTTTGTGTTGAATTTATACACAACTTCGAAAGACTATACGTTACAGTTTATTTTGTTCGCATCTTCCTGTTCCTCGTTTAAACACTAATTAAAAGGCACAGACGGGAAATTAAGAACAACTACTTTTGTTACTGTTTCTAAAGTTTTAACACTATTTTTTACAGTCAGTTAGTCTAAGATCTTCATGCTCTTCAACTTCTCACGTGATAGGAGTCTTTAGTAGACGAAACGAGCGTCTGGCGTACACAGTTTTAATCCTGGTATCTATGATGAGTTTATTCAGTAATTTGTGTGGAGATAATTGGACTGACGAATAAACAAAAACTAACATATTTGTATCACAGCTATCTCTAGCGTAAACAGTTGGTTCAAAATAATACTTATATTCCAAAGTTATATTTATTTATAAAATACTGTTGCTATTTGTGAAACGATTTGTTATCAAATTTGTGTCTTCAAAATGTTCTTTTTTATTCAACAATTTGATTATTGTATGTTTCTTTGATTAAATCATTTAATTGATATTGAAAACAGTCATGTGACTACAAACAGTTTTAGGGGGTGTTGGTGGTTTCAACAGTTCACAAAACACTACAAAGAAAACTGAAGATTGAACAACACGAAACCCACTAGCTCATGTGCTCCAGAACTGAGGTAAGCAGTTCTGATGGAAAAAGCCGCATTTGTTGAATGTGTTATAAATGAGGAAAAGAGAGTATGCTAATAGATAATCGAGCGAAACAACCCCAATTCTTACCTCTACATATGACATCACTGTTATTACATTATCATTACCCTATATCAAGACCTAACTAGAGAAAAAACATGATCGAACACTATTTGAATGAAGGCAACGTTGCGGCAGTGTATAATGGGTTAGTATTAAATAAATGAAAAGGTCATTAAATTGTAAACGTCAAATGATAAATGAGTATTGC